TATAAGATTCAGAAGTTCATATAATCTAAATTCAAAACTTCAAGTGAATCACAATATAAGCAGCTCAATGACCTACAGACTTTAAAAGGATAGACTTTCTTAAACAAAGATGATTATGAATTAACTAATTTTTTTACATCATATGCTTTCTAAATATCAAAGCTAAATGTAGGAACCTTCTAAACAGATCAAATGTTTTAAATATCTCTTATCTCTGCAAGACACTCTGTCATTCTTCACAAAATGTCCTGTACAACATATCATTTATTTCCCAATCATCTTAGTAGCACATTACTATCTATAAGATATTATAGTATTGCCTTAACCAAATTTTGGTAAGAGGGAATAATCAAACATTTCTCTAAGAACAAACTGGTGGAGAAAACACTACAATGTAGTTTGTACAGCACAAAAAAGAACCTGAAAATATTCACAAATATTTCTCGTCACGTTTTGAAATCACAATAGACAATCAAATTCACAGTGATATATATATATATACATACACACATATCAACAAGAATGTCTGTTACAAATGCAAATCAACAGCCATTCTTTTTGTCAGAGAAAACAACCTAACTGACGGAAGATGTTTAACAGTAATATTTAAAATGTTGCAGCTTTATTTGTATCACTTGAGTAAGTAAACATGTGTACCTCAGGGAAGGACATTAAAACACTGCCATGAACTTTAAATATGATGAAGTTAATCTAATGTATGAGGAATTAATTTCAAAAATGACTCTCAATTAAAAACTGTTGTTCAGCAATTCTGCTTTAACAGTAATTGGAGATATACACTTTTGAAAATCAATCTTGGAGTTGATGGTTTTATTTTCAAGACATGACCAACAACCTAAAGTTTGGAGACAGCTTGAATGTGTAGTGAAAGAAACTTTATTACAAATGTACAATGTTTTGACAGGCTTATGTCATCATCAAATACAAGTAGTTTGTCACATGACAAACAACCTGTTTTGATGGGATTTCTTGAAAAAGTAAATTTTCAGGTAGAAAATTATTAATACCAAAATATTCATATTTGAATTTTTTTTCACCTTTATAGGTTTTTCTCCTCCAAAAACAGTTACTTCTTCATAGTTCCAGACATTTCCAATCTGATGATGTTGACTCCATTTAACCTTTGAGGCTTCAGTTCCATTTTCATGATCTACATATATAGCTAGGTTATCAATAGCTTTTCCTTGTTGATGGTACCAGAATGACAAACAACAAGATTCCACTGATGGAATATGTAAGAGTGGAAGGAACATACGAGCAGTGATCTTTCCATTTTTCTCAACTGACCTTGTTTGCAAGTACCAACCATCTAAATATGTAACAAAAGAAATTTATAGATATATATTCATTTTCACTGTTAGATAAGACTGGCACTATTTCAGCACAATACGTTATTTTGCTTTTAGCTCATGAAATTGAGCCCTAAAGGAATGTACAATACTGGGTGGATATTTGCACAGTGAATTATGTTGATAACTTTTCTATTGTGTAAATCTTGTGTATGCCCAAGGTTGTAGTTCTAGAGTTAAACAACAATAACAAGTTAAGTTCAAACAAAAAAAGCAGAATTTATAGCTCTCACATGGCTATAGAATTAACTACCATGAAAGATCACAAAAATATGCATACAATCAATTGAGGTTGTTTTTCAAGACTCATAATGTAAGTAAATTAACATGTAGAATTATACATGGATTTTTCTGATTTTTTTAAATAATAAGGTCTGTGTTTGAGGCTTTTCTTTTTTTAAGGGTTTAGTTTAATTTAGTGGCTAGAACAACCCAGATGGATTAAAATGTTCCTTGTTTTCCTTTAATGTTATGTTGTATTAGAAAGATTCAAATCCAAAAATCAAGTAAATGGAATTTTCATATTTTATATCATTTGAACCCATTGATAAATGTAATATTTATTAAAAAATTTTTTTAATCACTTCTGTAACATTCACATGGTTTTAAACCTTTTAATATATGAATAGCTTCATTTGTCATTTGTGTTTATAATTTGAATGAATAAAAAAATGCTTTCTGTCCCTAGCTTTCTAGATATTCTAACTCTTAAATTTTTATTTCCTGGTTTCTGGCTACTTTGTCTTTATTAAGCTAATTGTACTACTTGTGGAGTATGGCTTATTGGCTAAACATGAAGATGGTCTTAAGTTTTATTAATTTACTTTATTTATCCACTAGAGGAGATTAGTTCTGTCCAAAGCACAGGCTATCTTCCCTGTAGTTGCAGCACACTTGTCACTGCACAATTCAGGGATCTTTAGATTTTATAACACATTTCTGATGAACAATTTCAACAGTCAACATTACGTTTCTAACTATACATGTATTTAAACATTCCAGAATTCAAAATAACCATACTGTAGGAGCATCAAAACCTTACCACCAGTAGTATGGTCATACAATGGCCCACTTTGTGGTCTGCCCAGTGCTGGACCTTTTCTTCGAATCCAAATAGTTTCTGTATTCCAGTCCAACTGAATTCCACAGTTAAATTCTTCAAAATCACATTGGAAGATCTCATATTCTGTCACTTCAGCTGAAAAAAATGAGCAATGAACGTGGTTCAGTGTTTTATCTAAAAAAAAAAAAAAACACTAGAAGGTAAATATTCAATTATCTTTCCAGTAATGAATTTGTAAAAATTACTTTAGAACAAATGTACAAGTCTTTCTTTTTTTTTCACTCATTCTGACAAATGGTAAAAGACTGCCCAGTAACATTCAATAGTATTTTTACCACTTTGTGATCCGATTGCTCTTAACCTCACATTTATACATGGATTAAACAGAACCTGAGAAAAAGTACAATTACAGTAGATCTCATATAACTAAACTTAGTATTATATTGTACTTGAAGTACACTTTATTACCTATCTTACAGGAGCCATGAATAATAGATACATTATCAACAGCTATGTCTCCAGCATCACTTGTGGAAGTGAAGAGTTTAGCTCCTAAGATTCCTTCCAACAGCAACTGTCAGCGAAACAGACACACTTTAGTCTCTGAACAGTATTAACTGTATCTTTGAATAATATTTTTTTTTAATCTGTGAAAATTTAAAGCATAATGTTTGTTTGTGACTACTATTTTTCAAAAACAATTAAACAAAAATACTGGAATAACTTATCATTTAATATAAAACATTTTTATGTTCATGTTTTAATTACATTTTCATTATTGCTTTTAATTTTAAAATAACAATATTGTCTTTTATCAAAATTAATATTTGTGTCACAATTTCTGTATTTTTTAATTCAAATAAAGAAATTCTATATAAACCTGATATTTTGAATTTTCCACTTTTGGATTGACAGTAACTTGAGTAACTAGCCACTGATCACCATGGTCACCCCATTCTTCCCACAGTATGACTGAACTTGTGTTTTCTCCAAATTCCTTAAGTGTTATTCGTAGAAGCAGTGTATCTAGACCATCTCCATAAATGTGATAAGCAAGACTAAGACACATAGGTCCTGTGTTTTTCTGTACTGGACTACTCAACACAGCTCCATCTGTGTTAACAAACACGTACCACCCATCTAAAAATTACAAAGGAGAAAAAAGCCTGTGATTCTCGATTATTTCATGATACAAATTGTTACACCATTTCACTAAAGAAAATTTGTTGGTTTAAAAATATGATACAGAAATAGAAATTTTTCTCCAAATGACTAACAAATAGATTTGATTTTTGTTGCTTTATATGGGTAAGACAAAATATTTGAATGACTTAAAGTAGTTAAAATACACAAAAAAAAACTTTGATATAAATATGAATCAAGAAACTACCACAAAAATAAATCTTAATATTCTATAAAATAACATGAAGATCAAAAGGTCATTAGTGTTGCTAAATTCTAGATCAAGCATTTTGAGAGTTTTTATAAATGCCACTAAAGATTCAAAACGTGTAATTATTATTACTCCTGGAATTAGGACTTGCTACACAAACATAATCATTATTATTAATTCTTGGATCATGGCTGTTCTGGAAAAAATTATCATTAATGCAGCCAAACAAGTTACACAAATGTAATTATTACTATTAATTCCTGGATCATGGCTGTTCTGGAAGAATTATCATTCATGCAGCCAAACATGTTACAGAAATGTAATTATTATATCCTGGATCATGGCTATTCTGGAAGAATTATCATTAATATAGCTAAAAAATGTTACACAAATGTAATTATTATATCCTGGATCATGGCTATTCTGGAAGAATTATCATTAATATAGCTAAAAAATGTTACACAAATGTAATTATTATATCCTGGATCATGATTGTCCTGGAAGGATTATCATTAATGTAGCTAAATATATTATACAAATTTAATTATTATTATTATTAATTCTTGGATCATGGCTGTTCTGAAAGAGTTTTCATTAATGTAGCTATTCATGTTAATCTCCAAACTACTGCAGGCAGATAAAAATGTTACACATCCAAAGTGAAAGAAATACATTGTTATTTTAGTTTTCTTTCTGTAGTTCCATCTAGTAATCAGAACCCAAATTTCACTGACAAGCATCTTTAAATGAAAATAAACAATTTATTAATGTATTAAACAAATTTTGTGTTACTTAATCAATATTTAATAATATATGAAGCAAAAATTCCATTAATCACAGTTTTCACATGTAGACCCAGTCAACCTGCATTTCTACAACACTGATTCACTCTTGGTCTGTGATACTCTCTGATGGTTAGAAGCTGAATATCTTGGTAAGAAAAGGCATTTGTAGCTTTCAATATGTGATACTCTCTGATGGTTAGAAGCTGAATATCTTGGTAAAAAAAGGCATTTGTAGCTTTCAATATGTGATACTCTCTGATGGTTAGAAGCTGAATATCTTGGTAAAAAAAAAAGACACTTGTAGCTTTCAATATATTACACATCTAGTCTGTTTGGGATAAGAAGCAAAATCAAGTTAAAGAAAATGGAAACTTATGGAAATTTTTATGTGATGCTATCAGTTGTAGAAACTTAAACTATTGCCTGACATTACTATTGGAACTTTTATTAGTTTGAATCCAGTGCAATATATACAAGTTAAATGAACACCTTAATTTTGTTTCTTACTATCATTTGTAACAAATGTTTGTAAAACAACTTTTGAAAAAAAAACCTCAACTGACATCTTAATTAGTTACTGATAACCTAGAATATTTTTGACTAACAAAAAAAATCTGAGAGAAAAGAATAGAAGCAAGAAATGTAAGCTTTTTGACAAAACTTACCCCCATTATAGTCGTTACTTGGGCCTGACAATTTGCCTATTTGTCGATTTGGTGTTGGTCCACTGTTTAACATCCATCCATTAACCACTGATCCTGAATGTCTCCATCCACAGAAACCACCCGAAAAGTCACAGTCAAATGTTTCAGAGTTTTCTTCTATTTCTGAAATTATAAATTTTCATAAAAGTTTTGAGAATAAAAAATACAGGGAGGTAGTAAAGTACATAAAATATTTTTACAACTATTATGAACATTAAAAAATAATTTCCTAATTAGAATAATGATCACATTATGAAATTAAGAAATTATTCCAAATTAATTAAAAACTAGCCAATACTCACGATCACAAGATCCATGTTTTACCACAACATTATCAAGAGCTATTGGATCTTGGGAATTAGCTTCTGTGTTCACAGCTTCAATCCTGACCTAAGAGAAATTAAAAGTGTATAAAAATAATACATAAAAAACATACATACCTCCCTGACAAAAACACAAAAGTTGTTCTTTACATCAATATAAAACTAGTAATAAAATATATCTCTACAGCAGTGGTACCCAACCTGGAGGGAGGGAGTGCCAGATATAAAAGACAAGGTTTTGCACCCTCTGAGGTTAGATGATTTCAATTAATGCTGTTACAAATATAACACCGGATATCTATGCATTTGTGAAGGATCTTCAAGCCCTGGGCTCTCAGTAAAATGGTCAGGTATGTTCATTTCTG